GATCCTGCTCAGGTGCATTCACTCAGCACAGCTGTCTGCTTGTAGGACTACTAGGACTTTGGCATCCCTGTTGGTGGTAGAATCAAACCAAGGTGTTGGAAGCAGCTGGTACAGGAGTTCTCCACTCGACAGTCAGCTATGGAGACTGACAGACTGCAAGAAACTGGCCAGGTAAAAGTAAAGGTAAAAGACAGTTAGGTCCAGTCAAAGGTGACTTTGGGGTCGCGGCACTCATCTCGCTTTCAGGCGAAGGGAGCCGGTGTTTATCCACAGACAGCTTTCTGGGTCATGTGACCAGCATGACTCAACCACTTCTGGCACAACGGAAAACCGTGATGGAAGCCAGAGTGCACGGAAACGCCGTTTACCTCCCGCCACAGCGGTATCTATTTATCTACTTGCACTGGTGTGCTTTCGAACTGTCAGGTTGGCAGGAGCTGGGACAGAGCAACTGATTTGAACTGCCAACCTTCTGATTGGCAAGCCCAAGAGGCTCAGTGGTTTAGACCACAGTGCCACCCGCGTTCCACTAGCCAGGGCAGCCCCACTGGAGAAGAAGAGATGCTCAATTAGCCAGAGGGTAAAGGCATGGTAAAGGGATGCGGGTGGCGCTGTGGGTTAAACCACAGAGCCTAGGATTTGCTGATCAGAAGGTCGGCGGTTCGAATCCCCGTGATGGGGTGAGCTCCTGTTGCTTGGTCCCTGCTCCTGCCAACCTAGCAGTTCGAAAGCACATCAGAGTGCAAGTTGTAAAGGTAAAAGGCGTTTCCGTGCGCTGCTCTGGTTCACTAGAAGCGGCTTAGTCATGCTGGCCACATGACCCAGAAGCTGTACGCCGGCTCCCTCGGCCAGTAAAGCGAGATGAGTGCCACAACCCCAGAGTCGGCCACGACTGGACCTAATGGTCAGGGGTCCCTCTACCTTTACCTTTAAAGGCATGGTGGGTGGAGCATTTAGAGTGGGATTCTAGATAAGGAGGGAGCAGGAGTAGCAGGGGAAAAAAAGGGGGGGAGTGCTAGGCTAGGGTCAATCTTTACCACAGCGGCTTAGGACACAGCATGGGAGGAAGGAGATAGCAGCAATTCTGGGCCCAGCCATCCAAGTGGAGAGTCACAGAAGGAAAAGCTTAATGTATTTGCACACCTGGTGATTGAGGGATTAATGGGGAAGATCTGAAGATGAGAAGGGCCCTAAACTTAGCTAACTCAGTGTTTTCTGAACCACTGGGGCCCTGAAGACCCCTGGAATCCACTGTGGGAGGGTGGAAGCTCTCCCCCCTCCAGGGTTATTCCAATGTAACAGTTCGTGTGAAGAAGCCCTAATTCAGCTCCAGGAAAGATGGTCAAGTGCTGTGTTATGTACTGAGTTGAATAGGATCCAAAATGCAGCAGTCTGATTGGTCCTAGAACAATAGGATTCAGAATGCAGCAGTCTGATTGGTCCTAGAACAATAGGATTCAGAATGCAGCAGTCTGATTGGTCCTAGAACAATAGGACCCAGAATGCAGCAGTCTGATTGGTCCACAGGAGGCACCCAATCCAGCTCCCGGTGGAAGTGAATCCGCAACCTGATTGGCCTAAAGGAGAATCCCGGAATTAGCCAATCACATGGGGCCCATTGTGTAAATAATGTATATAAAGCAGACATTCTGAAGGAACTTCCATTCCTCCTCACCACTATGAGCTGAATAAAGAGCATGAAATCCACTCTTGACTCCAAGTATATTTCATGCTGCAAAGAGGAAACAGGTCTTGAGGAAGGAGCCTGATGCAAATTTGATCTGGAACACCAAATCAAATTCTCCAGAGATTTCTACAGCGTTTTTGTGTTCTCAGAATGAGCTGCGCACTTAAGGAATTTGGCAAGTGTTCTAGGTGCCATTACAAAGCCAGAGATCAAATCCTCAATTTTTATTTTGAGATTCTCCTCCTGCCTCCATTTAAGCCATTTCTTAAGTCTCAGAATGAAAATAAAACAATTATATCATACAAAAAGAAAAAAAAAATCCACCAACAACATTGTATATTAAGATACAAAAGGTAAGCATTTTTTTCCCTTTTCTGTATAAAATACAAAGTTTGGACAGTACACTTTTATTCCACATGTGTATAAATATAACCCAAAGAATATGATTTCAGTATTCCTACCAAAATATTACATTTTGTTTTGTACAAAAGTTTACAAAAAGTTTCTATATATTTACAACCCAATACTGAGAAGAGTTCCTGATTCAATAATGCAAAATATAAGGGTAGTGCATTTTTTACTGTAATGATACAAAGAAGATATATAACGGTATAAAAAAACTGCAGGGTTTGCCTTTGTTTTCAATTCATTAAAAAAAACCCCACAACCCAGTGTTTCCCTGTTTTGATCACGAAGGTGCCATCAATGGGTAACTTTTCTCGCACGTGTCATTCTGAAATAAAGGGAAAGAGGCACAAGCCCGTGGCAGTTCCACAACTCTGGTTAATTTCAGAAGCAGATGCTCAGAATCGGTTGTGTAGCATCTTTGAGCTGCTATGGGTCTGCAACCGGAGTGTTAAAAAGTTGGCTAGGGCTATGAGCAGCTCATCATTTTGATCACCCACAATGCCCCAGAACGACGCTACATTGGGAGCGTTGCTGATAATAAATATGGTGGGCGGCTCACTGCCGCAGCATCCCAATTGTCTTTTGCTGGATATAGTCTCAAACTACTGTCACAGTCATGGCTTCCCTCCAAAGGACCATGGGAAATTTAGTCTGCTAAGAGTGCTGGGAACTGTCTCTCTATGATGGGTGTCACAACACCTCTCACCATCCAGCAGTTCCCAGGATTCCTTGGGGGAAGGAACAAATTGAACCCCCCCCCCTTTCAATACAGTATACCTCAGGTTGAATATGCTTCATGTTGAGCGAATTTGAGTTGTGCTCCGCTGCAACCCAGAAGTAACGGAGCGCGTTACTTCCAGGTTTTGCCGCTCGCGCTCAAAATGACGTCTCACGCATGCGCAGAAGCTGCGAAAAGTGACACGCACATGCGCAGACGTGCCATCGCTAGTTACATTTGCTTCTGGATGCGAACGGGGCTCTGGAATGGATCCCGTTTGTATCCAGAGGTACCACTGTATAAGGCATGGGTAGGCAAACTAAGGCCCGGGGCCCAGATCCGGCCCAATCGCCTTCTAAATCCGGCCCAGAACTTTGTTAGCCAGAACTTTGTTAGTCCAAAAATGGAAAGTACCAGAATTACCAACAATAGAGGAGTGGCAGGCGAAGATGGTTGATTATGCGGAACTAGCAAAACTGACCTGTAGAATCCGAAATCAGGAGGAAGCAAAATTCCAAAAAGATTGGAGTAAATTTATGGAGTACATAAGTAATAACTGTAGAAATTTGAAGACTCTGGCAGGACAGAAATAAATCTTACGATTTAGATAGGATTAGATACAATAAGAAAGTGTGGAGAAGTAACTGATCTGAGAAAACCTGTTGAAGGGAGGGAAGGAAGTCAATGCTCAGCAGAGTGTGGGCAAAGAATGTGGGTAAATGATGGTTGAATTTTACTGTATTTTGTTTGTTTGAATTAAATGAAACACCAATAAAAGGCATTTAATAAAAAGAAATAAATCTGGCCCGCGGACGGTCCGGGAATCAGTATGTTTTTCCATGAGTAGAATGTGTCCTTTTATTTAAAATATATCTCTGGGTTATTTGTGGGGCCTGCCTGGTGTTTTTACATGAGTAGAATGTGTCTTTTTATTTAAAATGCATCTCTGGGTTATTTGTGGGGCATAGGAATTCATTCATTCCCCCCTTCAAAATATAGTCCGGCCCCCCACAAGGTCTGAGGGACAATGGACCGGCCCCCTGCTGAAAAAGTTTGCTGACTCCTGGCACTGACATTTTGTGTGTGTGTTGGTAAAGAGACACTGGGGTTCCCTTATGCAGAGGACATCCGCCAGATGACCACAAAAGCACAGCCCCACATCTGAGCCCTGATTAGCTGGTTTAAAGTGGGGAGATACATGAAAACGGCTCATGGTCTAGGAGCCTGAAGGCTGTGGAGAGGATGCTTTCGGAGGCGAAAGGTAATGTAGCCAAGTGTGTTTGTGTTGGGATGGAGAGGCGGAATATTACGCATTTCCCTGGGGCTAGCTAGTTAAATCTTAGGCCCAAGTTCTCTAATCCTCAATCAATTTGGTACTCCGTATTTATTCTGCTCTGTAAGGAAGAGACTGGGCAGGCAGCAAAGCCACTTGGTAGTTGCCTTGGATGGAGGCATTAATATTTCAATAATCTGGCACAGGGAGCTGCCTCATTCCAAGGCCACATCTGCACTATACATCTATGGTGCCACTTTAGCACCAGAGAATCCTGGGAAATGCGGTTTCTTAAGGTGCTGAGAGTTGTTGGGAGATCCTCTTCTCTTAAAGAACTGCAATTTCCAGAGTTTCCAGGGAAGAAGGGTTGGTTGTTAAACCAACTGAACAACTCTAGCTCAGGTGTGTGTGTGTGTTTCCTAACATTTCCCAGAACCCCTCCCTTTTTAAAAAAAACTTTATACTTTTCAAGTTTATACATTTCACTAATTTTACAATCATTTTGACATTTCATAGCTTGACTTCCTTCCTTCTCTTTCTGCGGTTCCTTAAATTTATTTTTAATATCTTCTGCATATCTCAATTAACTTAATTTGCTCATTTATTCATCTTCTTTAAATATACACTCTTATGGCGCCGCAGGTTATTAAAACAATCCTGCCAAGGTTCTTATCTGTTTACAATTTATCTGTAAATATTCAATAAACCTTTCCCATTCTTTAATATATATATATAAATGTTATCTTGATTTCTTAATTCTTCCGGTAAGTTTCGCCATGGCGAATCTCCCAGAACCCTTAACAAATTATATTTCCCAGGATTCCTGGGGGCGGGGGGGGGGGAGAGCCATGACTGTTAATGTGGAATCCGTTCTGGAAGTCCGTTCGACTTCCAAAACGTTCGGAAACCAAATTGCGGCTTCTGATTGGCTGCAGTAAGCTTCCAAAAATAGTTCGAAAAACCGGAACAGTCACTTCCGGGTTTGCGATGCACGGGAGTCAAAATGTTCGGGAACTAAACTGTTTGAAAACCAAGGTATTGCCTTTGTCTACACAGGCAATCTGTGGCCTTCCAGGGTTTCAGGCAGGTCATTCTGACCTTACCTGGCAGTGTCAGGAATAAAAGCTGTGACCCTCTCTATAAAAAGTATGCACTTGATCAATGCACTTTCCTGATTCCTCACAACTGCTCCTGATAAATTAACTCAGCAGTCTCAGGCTGGACATTATCTGGGGTATACCTTTTCTTCTCTGTTCAAGATTTGTGGTTGCGTGTCTGCACGCCCAAGCGAACACCTACACAAGCTGTAGCCTACAGAAGAGTAGGACAAGCAACCAACGTCTCCTCCTGTGCTCTTGTTTAGCTTTCTAGGTACGAAGATCGGCCTACGCATTTTGAACGGGCGGAGACACCTCTTTGATTTTGCTCCTCATTGCGGACCACGAGGAACCCCTTCAACCACCGGGAGAGCAAAGTTTGGTTGTCTTGAAAACACTCCAAAGACACGTTCCCTCTGAAAAACTTTGTGGAGTGCAATCCTGGCTTTCGGGCCTTAAAAAAACAAACACCACTGCTGCCGCCACCCGCTCCGTGAGTTTGCAACCGCCTGCTGCTCGGCCTCAGGAGTGGCCACCTAGGATTTCATCAAGGTTGATGTCCTTCATCCAGTCGTCGTTACCCGGCTCTGTCTTTAACAAAGAATCGATGAAGTCCGGGTCGCTGTTGAGGGCTGGTCCAATGCTGTCGCCTTGCTGGTTCAGAAAGTCAAACGCCAGGTCGCTGGTGTGGTCGGTGGTTCCCTGGTAGGCCCTGGCAGAAGCCTGGCTACTACTAGATGGGAAATGGTTGGACGGCAAGGAGTTTGGCGCTGCCATGCTCACCCCCGGTGCATTTAAGTGTGGCACTGTCTGAGCCCGTACCTGGCCAGGCCTTGCCCCCAGGGATTTTGGCGCCCCAGCCGCTTGCCCATTTAGAGTTTGGTTCATTTGGCTCGTTGGTGTTCTCATCTGGGGGGCGGCCAGCTGGTTAGGAGCAGGCCCCATGGTGCGCTGGGGAAACTGCTGGTGGGCAGGTGTGCGCTGCAGTGGCTGGTTTGTATAGGGGCTGCCCGTGGGGAAAGGGGACCCCACGGCCTTGCGTGTTTCCTGCTGCTTCGCTCCTGTTTCTTGTGAGGCCCAGGTCTGAGTTGCTGAATTGGAGTTGACCATGACGTTCAGAGGCCTTGGTGCAGAAGAAGTCCCTTGGTTCAAGCTGAGTTTGCCTTGCTGAGAGCTGATCCCGGGCCCGCCGTCATACGCCGACAGGCTATTATTACTGCCTTGCCCCGGAGGCCCTTGCCGCGATGCTGTGGAACTGCTTTGCTGGCTGGGGATCATTTGGTTCGGGTTCCTGTGCTGCGACACTTGGCTCGCACCCGATGCAGCCACGCTGTACGCGCTCGGTTGGCTGCAAGGAAGGTTCCCGTAGCAGACCATGTGGCGTGTCGTCGGGAGAGAAGGCATTCTGGCTCCGTGAGTGGTGGTCAAAAGACCGGACGCCTGCGGCGAGAGGCTGGGAGTTGAAATGGAGTTGGAAAAGCAGAGGTTGGAGCTGGCGCTCACGGCTGGCGATCCACCTGGGGAAAGGGTGGTGGGAGGAGAAAGAAAAATCTCTTAGCGATCATCTAGTTCTAGGTTCTGAACAGGACCCATGGGCCAGAGCATCCATGGGAAACCCTCCCACCAGAATCCCATCACAACCCTACCGGAGGAACAGGAGCACGACTCTCTGGACATTGCTCTTAGCCCTGCCAGGTCCTTGGAACATTATGTGTTGTTCCCTAAGCATCATCACCATCATCATCATCACCACCACCACCATCATCATATTTATACCCTGCCCATCTGGCTGGGTTTCCCCAGCCACTCTGGGCGGCTCCCAACAGAATGTTAAAAACACAATAAAATATCAAACATTAAAAACTTTCCTAAACAGGGCTGCCTTCAAATGTCTTCTAAAAGTCAGATAGTTGTTTATTTCCTTGACATCTGATGGGAGGGCATTCCACAGGGCAGGGGCCACTACCGAGAAGGCCCTCTGCCTGGTTCCCTCACTGAGAGAAGTAAAGTTACAGGGAACCAGGCAGAGGGCCTTCTCGGTAGTGGCCCCTGCCCTGGTTCCCTGTAACCTTACTTCTCGCAGTGAGGGAACCACCAGAAGGCCCTCAGCGCTGGACCTCAGTGTCCGGGCAGAATGATGGGAGTGGAGACGCTCCTTCAGGTATACTGGACCAAGGCCGTTTAGGGCTTTAAAGGTCAGCACCAACACTTTGAATTGTGTTCGGAAATGCACTGGGAGCCAATGAAAGTCCTTTAGAACCAGTGTTATATGGTCCTGGCTGCCACTCCCAGTCACCAGTCTAGCTGCCGCATTCTGGATTAGTTGTAGTTTCCGGGTCACCTTCAAAGGTAGCCCCACGTAGAGCGCATTGCAGTAGTCCAAGCGGGAGATAACTAGAGCATGCATCACTCTGGCAAGACAGTCTGCGGGCGGATAGGGTCTCAGCCTGCGTACCAGATGGAACTGGTAGGCAGCTGCCCTGGACACAGAACTGACAGTCCCATTAGGAAATGAGAGCACTCGTCTTCCGCTGCTGGGTTGGGACCCACTACCAGGTTGTGGCCTGAGCTAAGGTGGGCTTCAACTGCAGCACCACCACCATACAAATATATGCTAAAAGGCTAAGAAATGGGCCTGCAATATAAGAATGTACTAAGAGCCTGCTGGGTCAGGTGAATGTCCCATCTAGTCCAGTACCCTCTTTTCACTGTGGCTGACTGGATGGCTGTGGGAAGCTCACAACCAGGACCTGAGCACAAGAGTCCTCTCCCTACTGCAGTTTCCAGGGGCCGAGGTCCCTTTGGGCCCCCAATAAAATATCTGAGGGGGACGGCCACCCCAAAGCTGATGGGCATTGCCGTTCAAATGGCATGTGTGTCCTGCGCCACATGATCCATTATGCATGGTGGGGCTTACCTGGTCTCTCCCCAATATTTTATTCAAGTTGGCACCCTTGGTTTAACTTTTATCTGAGCTGAATCCTTCAAAGTTCAGCTTCGGTGGATGTCCAATGAGGGGCAGTGACTGGCCCAAGGTCACCCAGGGAGCTTCATGGCTTGAGTGGGGACTTGAACCCAGGTCTCCAAACTTCTAGCCTGGCACCTACACCATTCTGGCTAGAATTGCCTCATCTGCCATTGGAATGAAGCAACCTTCCAGACGTAGCAAAAGATACCAAAGAGTTTTGGAGTCTCTTGAAGCAAAGCTGGAACATGTTGACTCGCAAGCCCTATATTCTTTGGGTAGAGACGTGAGTTGCCTAAAAGGGCACTGCGGTTGGGACATTGGTTTTCTATCTCACTCCAAAGACAAAGTTTCCTTCTCCCTCTCTGAACTGCTTGCTATTTTTAGCACCCTCCCCCCTTTTTTTGGCCACACAGATTTAGACCAGATGGGGAGAAATTTCACTCCAATTAGCGTCGAGCAGAAAACATTACCAGACCTTCGATACCAAGAGGAGTGAGTCAGTGATATTGGGGGATGTGTTGTTTTTTAGATTCACGCCCAGGAATGACAATTGACGCAAGGGGTGAGGCCTAAAGCCCCTCGGGCCCCCACTCCAGGATAGGGATGGAAGAGGATTTAGTTCAGTCTGCATTTCCAAGTGCACTGACCTTATTCACTACTCCCAGACTTACACACGGAGCGGAACACAGCTAACAATCCGACTGCACGCGTCTGTTGATTTTGCAATACGGTTTCAGTTAAAATAAAAATGCACATATGCATATTCAGGTGGAAAAGGCGTGCAAAACCAAAGCATGGAGGCCGGGGGGGGGTGGGGGGTGGAGCCAGTGCAAACATTCCTGCACATTTTTATAAGGTCTGAGTAGGGTTTACCAGTCCTGGCTTCCAGACAAGCACCCTTAGTTTGCAAACAGATGTCCGTCACACGCACCCTTCGTAAGTGGGGCAGGGAGACTTCTTCCGCCTGAGGGTTGCATGTCCTTCTCAGGGACAAATGCCAGTGGTGGGTGGAGCGAGAGGCAAAAGCGAGCCGAGCGATGGATGCAAATTTTACCTTTGCACGGTAGCTTAATTTCTACACATGCATGCACATCCCTCTCTATCCTCTAGCCAGACTGTTATGTACTGAGTTGAATAGGATCCAAAATACAGCAGTCTGATTGGTCCTAGAACAATAGGATTCAGAATGCAGCAGTCTGATTGGTCCTAGAACAATAGGATTCAGAATGCAGCAGTCTGATTGGTCCTAAACAATAGGGCCCAGAAAGTAGCAGTCTGATTGGTCCACAGGAGCCACCCAATCCAGCTCCAGGTGGAAGTGAATACACAACCTGATTGGCCTACAGGAGAATCCCAGAATTAGCCAATCACGTGGGGCCCATTGTGTAAATAATGTATATAAAGCAGACATTCTGGGGGAACTTCCATTCCTCCTCACCACTATGAGCTGAATAAAGAACATGAAATCCACTCTCGACTCCGAGTATATTTCACAGACCATTAAGAGGCGGGGGATACTTCCAGCCTAGGAACCCATTTTAAATTTCCTCAACACCACCTCCATTTTCAGGGGTGGCGTGTTTCTCAATACATGCCACCCCTGAAACCGCAGGAGGGGAGAGTGTTGTCCCACTCAAGTGCTGCTTGTGGACTTCTTGCAGGAATCTGGTTGGTCACTGTAGGGGCAGAATGCTGGTCTAGACGGGTCACTGGCCTGAACCCAGAGACAGGTGGGCTTGCGAACTGTCGGTGGGGCAGAGGGCTACATTTCCCATACAATGGAACCTCGGAAGCCGAACGCCTTTGAACGTGAACATTTTGGCTCATGAACGATCGAAAACCGGAAGTGATTGTTCTGGTTTTTGAACGATTTTCAGAAGCTGAATGTCCGCGTGGCTTCCAATTGGCAGCAGGACACTCCTGCAGCCAATCGGAAGCCCCGCCTCGGTTTTTGAACTGTTCCGGGAGTCGAACTGAAATATACTCGGAGTCCTGTAGTAATTTCATGCTCTTTATTGCAGCTTGTAAAAGAGTGATTGCATTTCCCCCCAAACCTCAGGCTTTTATATACATTATTTACACAATGTGTCCCGTCTGATTGGCTGATTCTGCTTCCCTCCTGGAGCCTGACTGGTCTTTTCCTGCAGGCCAATCAGTTGTTGCATTCTACAATCCTACCAGCCTAATAGGTTGATTAACTTCCTCCTGGAGCCTGATTGGTCTTTTCCTGCAATCCAATCAGTTGTTGCATTCTAGGATCCTACTTGCCTATTGTTCTAGGATCCAAGCTTAGTACATAACACAAACAGACTCCCGGAACGGATTAAATTCAAAAACCAAGGTACAACTGTACTCAAAACTAGTCGAGTCATTGGCAGCTGTCCTCTTGTTTACTGCTGCCTTCAAGCATGTTTACCTGAATATTGATGCGTTTGCTGCATGTTGACCTGGTTCCTTCTTTGGTCTTTATAATCTGGCGGGGGCCTTGTCGAGTGCCGGTTCAGCTGATCTTGCGGAGTCATTTTCTCCTACAGGATTAGAAAGAAAAGAGAAGGTGAACCCATTTTCTCGGTTAGCCAAAAGGCGAGCGATCTGAATGCGAACGCAGCTCGAACGGCTTTTGTATTTGGGGGAGACTCCTGCGATGCCGGCTTCAAGGCCATGGCGCAGAAGGAAGCATGGGAAGGTTTTGCAGATGTTTCTGACGTGCAGATTCTGCCACCTTCCCATATGACATCAGGCGGGGTGTCAGGAAACTGGTTGGGTCAGCAAAGAGAGGATGAGGGTTGTGTATAGGAAAGCTTTAAATGTTTGATTGTGCTTTTTATGTTTTGCTGGAAGCCACCCAGAGTGGCTGGGGCACCCCAGTCAGATGGGAGGCATTTAATAATAATAAAAAAAAATAAAAAACTACTACTACTACTATTGGCTGTATGCTTCAAACCTAGGGAAAGTGCTAGGGAATACAAAACTTGAAACAAAAATATATGTGATTCTAAGGTAAGGGCATAGTTAGCAAGTACACCAGGTTTTTAAAGTTTTAATTATAAATGTAGTAGGCCTCCCTATTTTCATCAAGACATAGGGAGAGAGGGGGGTGGGGGGGAAAAGGAAATTTTTAACCCTTCCACCCCCAGTCACAATTCTAATGAAAACTGCATCCCCAAGTGCCATTATTAACCTTAGAAAAACGCTCCCCTTGCTGCCAAACCCGGACAGAATAATAAACCCATACCCAGCAATTGTGTTCTAAACACTACGCACAATTATTTCAGTAACCTTTGCAACAGGGATCATGGAACTGTAGAGTTGGAAGGGACCCTTAGAGTCATCTAGTCCAACCCCTTGCAATGAAGGAAACTAAAGCGTCCATGAGACATGGCCATCCAACCGCTGCTTAAAAACCTCCCACCTCCCAAGGGAGTCAGTTCCACTGTCTAAACCCGAGGCTCTCCAAATGGTGTTGAAGACGCCATCTGCCACCAGCCATCATGCCCAATGACGACAACAACTGGTCCCCTATCCATGCTTTACAACAACCTTACAAGGTAAGGTATAGGGTAAAGGGACGCCCCCTGACCATTAGGTCCAGTCGTGGCCGACTCTGGGGTTGCGGCGTTCATCTCGCTTTATTGGCTGAGGGAGCTGGCGTACAGCTTCCGGGTCATGTGGCCAGCATGACTAAGCCGCTTCTGGAGAACCAGAGCAGCGCATGGAAACGCCGTTTACCTTCCCACCGGAACGGTACCTATTTATCTACTTGTACTTCGTGCTTTTGAACTGCTAGGTTGGCAGGAGCAGGGACCGAGCAACGGGAGCTCACCCTGTCGTGGCGATTCAAACCGCCGACCTGATCGGCAAGTCCTAGGCTCTGTGGTTTAACCCACAGTGCCACACGCGTCCCCTACCTTACAAGGTAGACCGGCCTTATTATCCCCATACTGCCTGCAGATGGGGTACAAAAAAAGAGAGGGTGGCTTGCAGAAAGCCAGCTGGATCTGGGACTCTGGTCTTCTGGCTGCCAAGATCCATGCCTACTTTTGACATACTTGGCAAGGCTTGCCTGCTAACACCCCCCCCCTAAAGAAAAAGGGAGAGGGGAGAAGCCAGCAGCACGAATTGCCTTCTCTTTCCCTCTCAGCAGATTGTCAAATGGAGTTCTCTCTTCCTACAGAAGGAAGGGATTTTCAGCCCAGCTCTGCAGTCTGCGAGAGGTTTCCAGTAAGCAGAGAAAGTGTCGCCTGAAGGTATGCAGGCAAAGAGCATGGGTGGTCCCTGTGCGCTGCCAGCAGCTGCCGAGGAAGGAAATGGAACTTTGCTGCTGTGCGCCAGCAACTTGGCTGCCCTGTAACCTGCTTTCCTTATGGCTGAACCTACAGCCTCCCCAACCGCCCTGTGTCAGGCTGCTAACTTGCACTGAGGAATCACTGCAAGGTTGGAACGCTCGGTGGCATAGAATCATAGAGTTGGAAGAGACCACAAGGGCCATCGAGTCCAACCCCCTGCCAAGCAGGAAACACCATCAGAGCACTCCTGACATATGGTTGTCAAGCCTCTGCTTAAAGACCTCCAAAGAAGGAGACTCCACCACACTCCTTGGCAGCAAATTCCACTGTCGAACAGCTCTTACTGTCAGGAAGTTCTTCCTAATGTTTAGGTGGAATCTTCTTTCTTGTAGTTTGGATCCATTGCTCCGTGTCTGCTTCTCTGGAGCAGCAGAAAACAACCTTTCTCCCTCCTCTATATGACATCCTTTTATATATTTGAACATGGCTATCATATCACCCCTTAACCTCCTCTTCTCCAGGCTAAACATGCCCAGCTCCCTTAGCCGTTCCTCATAAGGCATCGTTTCCAGGCCTTTGACCATTTTGGTTGCCCTCCTCTGGACACGTTCCAGTTTGTCAGTGTCCTTCTTGAACTGTGGTGCCCAGAACTGGACACAGTACTCCATGTGAGGTCTGACCAGAGCAGAATACAGTGGCACTATTACTTCCAAATAGTGGCACTATTTGCAAAAAACAAACAGACACAGGCTCCACATGCAAAAGGTGTGGCAGGTTTAATTCCTTTGGATCCCCAATTCAAAGGACCTCCAGGCAAATTCACAAGGCACCAGGAACCAAAGGAGCAGGGAAGACTTTCTATGTACGCAGTGCCACGCTCACGGATGCTACTAGCCCAGAGATGGAAAGATGACAAAGTCCCTATCAGGGAAGAAGGGCAAACTAAGCTGTTGGATTATGCCGAAATGGCAAAAGTGACTGGAAAGCTCAGGAACCAAAAAGACCAAAACTTCAATAAAGAATGGGAAAAGTTCATAATTTACTTGAGAGACCACTGTAAGGAGATGAAAAAATTAGCAGGGTTGCAATGACACTTGTAATGTAGACGATATTAAGGATAAACTGGAGAGATATAAAATTTGGACGATGAAATAATAAGCAGTTGAAAAGGTTTATAATAAGACCCGTGGAAGGGAATGTGGGAAATCGAGAAATCTCCAAATATGGATATGTATTTTGTGTTGTTATAACTCTATACTTGTAAAATCAAATAAAAATTATTTCCAAAAAAAGAATAAAAATACAAGACACCAGGAAGTGTTGAGAGGACAAAGCGGAGGTCTGACTCAGCGTATGACAGCTTTGCATTGCGCATCAAGTTTAATAATAATAATAATAATAATAATAATAATAATAATAATTTATTATTTGTACCCCGCCCATCTGGCTGGGTTTCCCCAGCCACTCTGGGCGGCTTCCAACAAAGATGAAAGATACACTAAAATGTCACATATTAAAAACTCCCCTGAACAGGGCTGGCTTCAGATGTCTTCTGAATGTCAGGTAGATGTTTATCGCTTTGACATCTGATGGGAGGGCGTTCCACAGGGCGGGTGCCACTACCGAGAAGGCCCTCTGCCTGGTTCCCTGTAACTTGGCCTCTCGCAGTGAGGGAACCGCCAGAAGGCCCTCGGAGCTGGACCTCAGTGTCCGGGCAGAACGATGGGGGAGGAGACGCTCCTTCAGATATACTGGACCAAGGCCGTTTAGGGCTTTAAAGGTCAGCACCAACACTTTGAATTGTGCTCAGAAACGTACTGGGAGCCAATGTAGGTCTTTCAAGACCGGTGTTATATGGTCTCGGCGGCCGCTCCCAGTCACCAGTCTAGCTGCTGCATTCTGGATTAGTTGTAGTTTCCGGGTCACCTTCAAAGGTAGCCCCACGTAGAGCGCATTGCAGTAGTCCAAGCAGGAGATAACCAGAGCATGTACCACTCTGGTGAGACAGTCTGCAGGCAGATAGGGTCTCAGCCTACGTACCAGATGGAGCTGGTAAACAGCTGCCTGGATACAGATTTGACCTGTGCCTCCATGGACAGCTGTGGGTCCAAAATGACTCCCAGGCTGCGCACCTGGTCCTTCAGGGGCACAGTTACCCCATTCAGGACCAGGGAATCCTCCACACCTGCTCGCCTCCTGTCCCCCCAAAACAGTACTTGTGTCTTGTCAGGATTCAACCCCAATCTGTTAGCTGCCAGTTTAACCTAGACAGCATGCCCCAATCTCCACATACTCACTGGCTGTGGTTTTGCACTACTCTAAATCCACGGGAGGGTCTGTTGTGGGAATTGTTCCCGTGTGCAATTGGTGCAGGGAATCTATTTGCACTTTTACAGTCTGGATTGGGACCCTAGCATAGGGCATGGGGGGTGGGCCTTCAACCCTCTGCCACCCACTGTGTTCCTGATCAAGAAATGGAGCCCCACACTTGCAATCTGTGTTGGGGAAAAAGCTCCCATTGGAAAAACAAAAGCTCCTATGGAAAACAAAAGCTCCCATTTGCTCCTGTGGGAGCTTCCCTCACCCTCCAAATACAAGCAGAGCAGGTGAAATGGGCAGACTTAAGAATGACCCAGTAGCTGTTTTCGCAATACCAGCTTCTGAATTCTACATGAGACCGATTTACATGGAAAATAAAATAGGGAAACTGAAAATTTACCGCTTCAGTTAGTATCTTTTGTTGCTGCTGTTGCTGGTGCTGCAAAAGGAGTTGTTGCTTCAGCTGCTGATTCAGCAGAGCTTGCTGAGGTGAGTTCATGTAGCCGCTCGCAGCATTTGGATTCGTGCAAGCGTTTGACGTTGGATTGGGGCCTGCGCTTTGGCTCAGCACGGAGTGTTGATCCTGCAAAAGAAAGAAGAAGGAAAAAAGAGGATGATAAAGGCTCGCAAAGATGCACATGGGCAAAAAAAGGAAAACCGGGGCTTCCTCAGGCTTGTGGAGGCTGATTAAAAGATGGGGCCTTCTGCGTTCAGCCATGGGACGGCTGCAGCAGAAACTGGGATGAGGAAATTAAGAGAAGCACGGGGAAAATTACAGGACTACTCCTGTGGTTGCAGCAGAAAACCGTGGCTTTCTAACAGGAGCTTACAGGAGCTCAAAGGAGAGCCGCCGTAGCTGTTTGTAGAAATAAGTGTGATTATACAGCAGTGGCTACATCAACAGAAACCATCAACGCAGTTACTGCAGCATGACCCACTTCTGAAACTTTCTTCTCTGTCAGGTGGAGAACTTATCTGTCTATTTGCTATCCTTTCATTCTCTCATTACAGTGGCACCTCGGGTTACATACGCTTCAGGTTACATACGCTTCAGGTTACAGACTCCGCTAACCCAGAAATAGTACCTCGGGTTAAGAGCTTTGCTTCAGGATGAGAACAGAAATCGTGCTCCGGCGGTGCAGCAGCAGCAGAAGGCCCCATTAGCTAAAGTGGTGCTTCAGGTTAAGAACAGTTTCAGGTTAAGTACGGACCTCCAGAATGAATTAAGCACTTAACCCAAGGTACCACTGTATTTGTCTCAAGCCGTTTCCCAGTATTCCTCCCAGCTCTGCTGACACCCTATTACACTCTAGCATGGCCCACAGACGGAGCTCAAAGCAGGGTTGTGCTTGATGGTCACCACCAAGGATCTGAAATTAGGGTGCAATGTCTATTTTTGCCCGGAGACTGTAACACATCCCAAAAGTACTAGAATTATAGAGTCAGAAGGGACTGTGTATGTCATCTGGTCTAGCCTCCTGATCAATGCAGGATCTACTATGCAAGATGCAACTTTGGCTTCCCCAACAGGTAATCTCAGTGCTTCGCTAGGCAACCTGTACCATTGCTTGTTGTTTGTGTTAATTAATTACCTACCCTTCACCCTAAGATCCCAGGGCAGGTAGCAACAATTGAAAAAACAACATTATAAGCCATTTAAAAATCACAAAAAATTAAACCACAAAAATATATTCTCTCTCTCTCTCAAAAAAAGTTTCTACCTCTGTCACACTCTACAGTGACCAAGAAACAGAACCATGGACAGGGCTAGGCCCTAGTCAAGGAACCTTTAGGTCTCAGTGGCTTCCATTCAATTCAATGGGACAAACAAAGGGTTCATCCACACTTCCTCAGGTCCTGCTGATCCCCCCGGAGAAAACCGCTCTTTTGCACTCAGTTGGAACAAATGGCAATTCAGGGTTTTTCCAGATTGACATTTGCTCCAATTTAGCCCTAAAGAGTGGGTTTTCCATGGGAAAGGAATACAGTGGGGGGAAACCGACAGATCTGTGCTTTATAGTCATGGGACAAGCAGAAGTGGGGATGAGCCCTAAATGTCTCACAGTTGGGGAAACTGATGGAACGGGACAAAACTGACCTCCTGGTCCAAGCAGTGACCAACAGTGGGCTCCTTTTGTCTCCATCTAATGGTGCCCCTGAATCAGATTTGAAAAGTCAATTTTCAAAGAGGAACCAGTACAGATGGGTACACAGCAGGGGTGAGAGCAACTGGTTAAATAGATGTTTTGAAAAGTGGGTGACTGATTAATCTTAGGTTGAAAGATATTTTAAGGTTGCTGTTTGCTAAGGTCTTGTGCAAAGTATCGTCCTCCTTGAAGTATTTTGAAAGGAAAATTATGGCTAAACAGATTGGCTTTGCATTCCATTTCCAAGCTACGCTCTTCCTTTAATACTGTTGTCTTTTTATATCCAGTAATGGGATTCATCTGGTTTCACTTTGCACAGACAGTGCAGATGTCCCCCACTCACTACTCTAAAGTTTATGGCAAAACTAAGGAATAAAAATTATTTCATTTCTCCAGAAACTACCGCACTTTGCCTTTTTTCATATAAGCTGGGCAGCACACACACACACACACACACACACACACACACACACGTCTCTGACCCTGCTCCTCCACATGGCTCAGAGGCTCAGCTAATAACCACCAGAAGCCATATATTCAGTATTGTGGGTCTGACTTGGTGGAGCTCCCTTCTGGCTAAGATTGAACCAGCCCCCAACTCTCTACTGAATTTTAGGCGTTTGACAAATAACTTTCCATTCCAGTAGGCATTCAAGGTCCTTTTCTCTCTTTATGATAATTGATTTTATCCGTTGCATATGCTTTTTGTAATTTTTTTTATGTACACCGCTTAGAAACCTTGGTAATTAAGACATATATCAAAGCCCATGAAATAGATGGTGGATAGATAATCGGGACCCCAGAGAGAGAGTTGCGTCCTTCCTTAAGCTCCAGATTTGCTCTTGCGATCACGTAGCAACAGCAACGGCAAAGCAGCCCTTCGTCACCAGCCTTGTCAAGCCTTGAAAGGCGGACAAAGGTTGGCCGTGATGAATCATGAAGTGGTGTCTTGTTCGCTTCTGCACGTGCTCAGTGCAGCCTCCTGCCGGGGCAGTCTGACATATTTCCTGTCTGGGCTACAGGGTGCCCATGCGCGATCAAACAGGGCTGCATTTATTTTATTTTATAAAATGTCCACAATGCACAACGACACACACTTCTGAATTCCCGTGGGCCAACATTTCATCACTTTCTCTGGGTAAAAGGGTCTGAAGGCATGACTCATAGGATTACAGGAAGTTGCCTTGTACCAAGTCAGACGACTGGTCCATCCACCTCAATATTTCCTACACTGATTGGCAGCAGAGCTAGGGAGTCCATCTTAGCCCTACTTGGAGGTGCCAGAGATTGAACTTTGGAGCTTCTGTATGCAATGCAGAGGCTCTGCCAGTAAGCTACTAGTAAAGGTAAAGGGACCCCTGACCATTAGGTCCAGTCGTGGCCGACTCTGGGGTTGCGGCGCTCATCTCACTTTATTGGCGGAGGGAGCCGGCGTACAGCTTCCAGGTCATGTGGCAGGCATGACTAAGCCGCTTCTGGCGAACCAGAGCAGCGCACGGAAACGCGTTTACCTTCCCACCAGAGTGGTACCTATTTATCTACTTGTACTTTGACATGCTTTTGAACTGCTAGGTTGGCAGGAGCAGGGACCGAGCAACGGGAGCTCACCCCGTCGCGGAGATTCAAACCGCCGACCTTCTGATCGGCAAGTCCTAGGCTCTGTGGTTTAACCCACAGAGCTACCCGCGTTCCTCCTAGTGAGCTACTACCTGCCCCTAAATCTTAAAAGACAAAACATGTGCTTTGCTTAGTGTCTTCTTCAATACGCAGGCTTATAACTGATGATGATCTGTTTTACTTTCTTACCAAACTGGGGTAACGCTTCAGGTTACATATGCTTCCGGTTACAGACTCCGCTAACCCAGAAATAGTACCTCAGGTTAAGAACTTTGCTTCAGGATGAGAACAGAAATCGTGCTCCGGCGGCACGGCAGCAGCAGGAGGCCCCATTAGCTAAAGTGGTGCTTCAGGTTAAGAACAGTTTCAGGTTAAGAACAGACCTCCGGAACGAATTAAGTACTTAACCCGAGGTACCACTGTATTAGAAAATGTGTTGAAGATAGGGAAATAATATGGTGTACTTATTTTCATTTTTATGTTTATAGTTCAGATGTTATTGTGTAAGTATACTATTAGTATTTTTTTCTTTTAGGAGGTAGCAAGGTGGGTGAAAGCAGAAACAAACCGGAAGCGGAAGTTGGGGGAAGCCTAGGAGGGGAGGGAGGAAGGAATGAACAGAAAATGTTATGGATATGAGATCTATGTAATGAATGAAAATGAAAACTGAATAAAAATTTAATTAAAAACAAAAAACAAAATCAAACAAACAAGGATGGAATTCAATGAGCCAAGCATTAAAACACAAACATCCATAATTAAAATATGCAACGGGAAGAACCCTACTGAAACCGTGCGGTAATTAAAGCAAAAACTCAGGACGAGAGTTTGACCGACCTAAATGTCATTTTAGGTCGGATCTGGGGGCTGCGAAACCTCCGACAACGTTTCCAAAAGGTTCCTTGTCTGAGGTTTGGGAAGGCCTCCAAGAGGCACAGATCCAACTGTGATCCCCACAAAGTCACCGCTCTGACTTGGCAGGAGCTTCCTTGTGGAGGCTGCCAGAGCGTGGCTGCGTCGTCTGTGGCGGCCCCTTGCAAATCAAGGTGTGTTCCTCCCACCAACTCAGAAGAAGGAAAGACCCACTGCGCTGGGAGGTGGGGTGGAGGAGACCCCAGCTTCCTGGGTATCCCTCTCCGTGGGAAGTCAGTGTCCCAATTCCACCTTCCTAGAGGTTTTGTTTTGTTTTACAAGATGCCTTTTCTTTATCTATCTCAAATGTTTTAAAGCTGCCCCTCACCAGAGAGTGATATCAGGGCAGGGTACCATAAGATCGAGGGACGCAGGTGGTGCTGTGGTCTAAACCACAGAGCCTAAGGTTTGCTGATCAGAAAGTCGGCGGTTCGAATCCCCGCAATGGGGTGAGCTCCCGTTGCTCGGTCCCTAGCAGTTCAAAAGCACATGAAAGTGCAAGTAGATAAATAGGTATTGCTCTGGCAGGAAGGTAAACGGTGTTTCCGTGCGCTGCTCTGGTTCGCCAGATGCGGTTTAGTTATGCTGCTCACATGACCCGGAAGCTGTACGCCGGCTCCCTCGGCCAGTAAAGCGAGATGAGCGCCACAACCCCAGAGTCGTCCGCGACTGGACCTAACGGTCAGGGGTCCCTTTACCTTTACCATAAGATCAGTTCAAACCAAGGGGTCTCATGGGAATGTAGAAAGCTGAGTCGGAACACTGGTTCTTTGCCGAGCCAGACCAAAGGTCCTTCTTGTTCCACAGTTTGCACCAGTGATGGAGAATCACAAGCCCAGGAGCCAAAAGAAACCCTCCAAGTATTTTGATGTGGACCTTGCTACCTCTCAGGCCACACTTTTCCCAG